TTTTTTTTCTAATTGTTCAACAGACATAGCTTTGTTATAAAGTTCCTGATAGACTTCTTGTGTTAAATAAACTTTTTTTGGATTTCTTCCAGTATGGTGAAAAGATCTATCATTGTCCTTTTGTTTTACTGATAATTGAGGCTTACCACAACTATAAGTAACTAAATCATTATAATGTTTTTTGCATAATTGGTCATTAATCTGTAATTTTATATTTATATTCTGAATTACTGGGCTATTACATGTTGCTTTTATTGAATTAGTAGTAAGTCTTCTATATTCAATTTTAGGATCATTTTGACCACATACTACACAAGGGCCAGTATTTTTTTTACCTATACCTTTGGTCATTTCAATAATAAAGAATAAGAAAATTCAGTTAAAAGATTATTTTATTTATTTTTTTGAAAAAAAAAAAATATTGTAAAAAAGTAATAAAATTTTTAGTTTATGTTTTCATGTTAAACTGTCGATCATTTGCATCATTTTGAGCAAAATTTAAAGCAATCTTTTCAACTATTAAAAGTCCAAACTAAATTCCGCTCAGGAAAAACTATTTTCTGCTCAGAAAAGAACTATATTATTAGTATCATCATACAAAATTTGAGGTGGTGTAAATAAGTGGTGGTATACCATTTTTCTAAGTGGGTACTTTTTCGATTTTTACAATACTCTTCACATATAAATTGTTGATCATCTCTGTTGTTTTGAATAAGCTTGATCAACAAAAAAATATACAAAAATAGATTTTTAACTATGCTGGCAACGATACTATCTCTCTTTGGAAATTTTCGAAAGAAAAGGAAAATTTTCGTTTCACAAAATTTATAAATCTTTTCATTGATCATTGATTATGATTATGATTATGTAACAACCATGCCCTTTTTGAAGTGGCAAAGGAAATCCTCGTCAATATAAAAAATTGTGGTAGAGTATGAATTGTAAATCATAAAAATGATGTTGAATTTTACAGGATCCTTCAAGAGATAAGAACAGGAACTTTGTCAGTTAGAAGCAAGCAAATAATCCAAACAAAAATTAACCAAGAAACTGACTTTTGTAGTTTCTATGATACCACACATGTGGTTGGCACTCGAAAAGCAACTCAATCTCTCAATGCAATATTCTTTAATCATCTTCCCTTTGACAAAACATGCAATGATCCAATGGTTTCTGAATGCACAGACACACTGGAATTTGAAATATCAAATTATGATCACTTGATTGCTCAATTCAAAAACTTAACAAACTTGCCTCATAAATTGTATTTACAAGAAGGTGCACATGTGATGTTTATTAATAATAATAAGCTATTTGATGAAAAAATATGCAATGGAACTGTTGGAATAGCAACAAAAATTTATGATAAAGAGAATGTTGAGGTGATCTTTCCTACCTTGGCCAGCATAAGCAAGGTTATTGTCCAAAGAGAACACCTTATTTTGAAGTTTATGGCAAGAGAGCATCAAGGAATCAATTTCCTCTTCAGAATGCATTTGCTCTGACTGTTCATAAAACTCAAGGATTGACCTTGCCACATGTAACATTGAATGTTGACGAAAGTATGTTTGCTGAAGGACAAGTGTATGTTGCAATGAGTCAAGCTCCCTCATTGGAAAAACTGCAAATCCTTGATTTTGATTATTCCCAATTAAAAATTTCCAGGGCGGCTTTGGAAGAGTATAAAAGATTGGAGGCTGTGAGCATTGATGGGTTACAAAAACTAACAATGCTGTAAAAAAAATATTCTTTGTAAAAATTAAATTTTTTAAAATTCCTAAAAAAATTCTACACTGATGCTTGTGTAATGTGATGATTACACAAACTCGCTGCAGCCTATTAAAATCTTATTAATATTAATAATGCATATATTTTTTTTGTTACCTTATCTATTATGACATAAAAATAAAAGATAAACCAAAATTTGGGAAAGTTGGTTGGTTAAGATGAAAATGGTTTTAGTTTTTCTCATCAATCACATTAAAACCTTCTAATCCAAATATATTAAGAAAAAGACCAAGTTTGTATTGCAAGTTCTTTACTAATTCAACAACTTTGAATGATTTAGGTTCAAGAGCTCATTCAGTGGACATTACTTCAGGAAGATTTTATCTCTCAAGATCCTTAATGTTTAGATCCATGTTTAGTGTTACTCTTACATATTCAATAATGTATAGCTAACATACATTATGATATTCAAATAAAAAAATGCTTAGTTGTGGAACTTGAATTTGTACATACGGTGCAGATCATCTATAATCATTAGTTGCTTATATAGTCAACCCCCTCTAAGTGCACGCTCTCACTCATTCCCAAGCTTGGTAATTAGAGATAAGTGCACACCCCCTCTCCC